TTCTTTCTTCCACAATTGCTAGCCTCTCTAATACCGCGCACCTTTCGCCGGTATCATACACCCACCATATACCTTCCTCAAAACAGCCACCATACCTACCTATCATGGCATTTCCATAGCCATTCTGAGATATATTGCCATGCAACTTTCCATCGTTCCGTTTACTATGACACGCTCCATCATTGTCATATTGCTTTGCATGATCATGTAGTTGACATTGTATTTGTGGCAAAGCCACTGTTCATAATTCTTTCATAGATGTCACTCTTGATTCATTGCATATCCCGATACACCGCCGGAGGCATTCACATAGAGTCATATTTTGTTCTAAGTATTGAGTTGTAATTGTTGAGTTGTAAGTAAATAAAAGTGTGATGATCATCATTTTTAGAGCCTTGTCCCAAGTGAGGAAAGGATGATGGAGACAATGATTCCCCCGCAAGTCGGGATGAGACTCCGGACGAAAAAAAGAGGCCATAAAAAGGCCCAAAAAAATATGAGAGAAAAAGAGAGAAGGGACAATGCTACTATCCTTTTACCACATGTGTGCTTCAAAGTAGCACCATGATCTTCATAATAGAGAGTCTCCTATGTTATCGCTTTCATATACTAGTGGGAATTTTTCATTATAGAACTTGGCTTGTATATTCCAATGATGGGCTTCCTCAAAATGCCCTAGGTCTTCGTGAGCAAGCGAGTTGGATGCACACCCACTTAGTTCCTTTTGTTGAGCTTTCATATACTTATAGCTCTAGTGCATCCGTTGCATGGCAATCCCTACTCACACACATTGATATCTATTGATGGGCATCTCCATAGCCCGTTGATACGCCTAGTTGATGTGAGACTATCTTCCCCCTTTTTTGTCTCCTCCACAACCACCATTCTATTCCACCTAAAGTGCTATGTCCATGGCTCACGCTCATGTATTGCGTGAAGATTGAAAAAGTTTGAGAACACCAAAAGTATGAAACAATTGCTTGGCTTGTCATCGGGGTTGTGCATGATTTAAATACTTTATGTGGTGAAGATAGAGCATAGCCAGACTATATGATTTTGTAGGGATAACTTTCTTTGGCCATGTTATTTTGAAGATACATAATTGCTTAGTTAATATGCTTGAAGTATTATGCCAAGTAGCATTCCACATCAAAAATTCTGTTTTTATCATTTACTTACTCGAGGACGAGCAGGAATTAAGCTTGGGGATGCTTGATACGTCTCCAACGTATCTATAATTTTTGATTGTTCCATGCTATATTATATTCCGTTTTGGACATTATTGGGCTTTATTATACACTTTTATATTATTTTTGGGACTAACCTATTAACCGGAGGCCCAGCCCAGAATTGCTTGTTTTTTTTGCCTATTTTAGGGTTTCACAGAAAAATAATATCAAACGGAGTCCAAACGGAATGAAACCTTCGGGAACGTGATTTTGGGAATGAACATGATCCAGAGGACTTGGACCCTACGTCAAGCAATCAACGAGGAAGGCACGAGGTAGGGGGGCGCGCCTACCCCCTCCCAGGCGCGCCCTCCACCCTCGTGGGCCTCCCGTTGCTCCACGGACGTACTCCTTCCTCCTATATATACATATGTACCGCCAAACTACCAGATACAGAGTCAAAACCCTAATTCCACCGCCGTAACTTTCTGTATCCACGAGATCCCATCTTGGGGCCTTTTCCGGAGCTCCGCCAGAGGGGGCATCGATCACGGAGGGCTTCTACATCAACACCATAGCCCCTCCGATGAAGTGTGAGTAGTTTACTTTAGACCTACCGGTCCATAGTTATTAGCTAGATGGCTTCTTATCTCTTTTTGGATCTAAATACAAAGTTCTCCCCCTCTCTTGTGGAGATCTATTCGATGTAATCTTCTTTTGCAGTGTGTTTGTTGAGACCAATGAATTGTGGGTTTATGATCAAGTTTATCTATGAACAATATTTTAATCTTCTCTGAATTCTTTTATGTATGATTGGTTATCTTTGCAAGTCTCTTCGAATTATCAGTTTGGTTTGGCCTACTAGATTGATCTTTCTTGCAATGGGAGAAGTGCTTAGCTTAGGGTTCAATCTTGCGGTGTCCTTTCCCAGTGACAGTAGGGGCAGCAAGGCACGTATTGTATTGTTGCCATCGAGGATAACAAGATGGGGTTTATATCATATTGCATGAGTTTATCCCTCTACATCATGTCATCTTGCTTAAAGCGTTACTCCATTCTCTTGAACTTAATACTCTAGATGCATGCTGGATAGCGGTCGATGTGTGGAGTAATAGTAGTAGATGCAGACAGGAGTCGGTCTACTTGTCTCGGACATGATGCCTATATACATGATCATACCTAGATATTCTCATAACTATGCTCAATTCTGTCAATTGCTCAACAATAATTTGTTCACCCACCGTAAATACGTATGCTCTTGAGAGAAGCCACTAGTGAAACCTATGGCCCCCGGGTCTATCTTCCATCATATTAATCTTCCAATACTTAGTTATTTCCTTTGCCATTTATTTTACTTGCATCTTTTATTTCTCTTTATCATAAAAATTCCAAAAATATTATCCTATCATATCTATCAGATCTCACTCTCGTAAGTGACCGTGTAGGGATTGACAACCCCTTATCGCGTTGGTTGCGAGGATTTATTTGTTTGTGTAGGTGCGAGGGACTCGTGCGCGGCCTCCTACTGGATTGATACCTTGGTTCTCAAAAACTAAGGGAAATACTTACACTACTTTGCTGCATCATCCTTTCCTCTTCAAGAGAAAACCAACGCAGTGCTCAAGAGGTAGCAATGTTTAATGAAGCTACCGACGCAGGGCTTCGCCTAAGCACCGCTATGATATGACCGAGGTGTATTATGGTGGAGGGGGGCACCGCACACGGCTAAGAGATCAACAGATTGTTCTATCTGGGGTGCCCCCTGCCCCCGTATATAAAGGAGCTAGGGGGAGCCGGCTGGCCAAGGAGGAGGGCGCGCCAAGGGGGGAGTCCTACTCCCACCGGGAGTAGGACTCCCTCTTTTCCTAGTTGGAGTAGGAGAGGAGAAGGAAGGGAGAGAGGAAGAGAAGGAAAGGGGGGCACCGCCCCCCCTCCTTGTCAAATTCGGACTAGAGGGGGAGGGGGCGCGTGGCTGCCCTTGGCCGCCCCTCCTCTTCTCCCACTAAGGCCCAATATACTCCCCGGGGGGTTCCGGTAACCCTCGGTACTCTGGTAAATGTCCGAAACCTCCCGAAACACTTTCGGTGTCTGAACATAGTCATCCAATATATCGATCTTTACGTCTCGGCCATTTCGAGACTCCTCATCATGTCCGTGATCATATCCGGGACTCCGAACTACCTTCGGTACATCAAAACACAAAAACTCATAATACCGATCGTCACAGAACTTTAAGCGTGCGGACCCTACGGGTTCGAGAACTATGCAGACATGACCAAGACATGTCTTCGGTCAATAACCAATAGCGGAACCTGGATGCTCATATTGGTTCCTACATATTCTACGAAGATCTTTATCGGTCAAACCGCATAACAGTATACGTTGTTCCCTTTGTCATCGGTATGTTACTTACCCGAGATTTGATCGTTGGTATCTCAATACCTAGTTCAATCTCGTTACCGACAAGTCTCTTTACTCGTTCCATAATGCATCATCCCGCAACTAACACATTAGTCACATTGCTTGCAAGGCTTATAGTGATGTGCATTACCGAGAGGGCCCAGAGATGCCTCTCCGACAATCGGAGTGACAAATCCTATTCTTGATCTATGCTAACTCCATGAACACCATCGGAAACACCTGTAGAGCGCCTTTATAATCACCCAGTTACATTGTGACGTTTGGTAGCACAAAAAGTGTTTCTCCGGTATTCGGGAGTTGCATAATCTCATAGTCATAGGAACATGCACAAGTCATGAAGAAAGCAATAGCAGTAAACTTAAACGATCAAGTGCTAAGCTAACGAAATGGGTTAAGTCAATCACATCATTCTCCTAATGACGTGATCCCGTTGATCGAATGACAACTCATGTCTATGGCTAGGAAACTCAACCATCTTCGATCAACGAGCTAGTCAAGTAGAGGCATACTAGTGACACTATGTTTGTCTATGTATTCACACATGTATTATGTTTCCGGTTAATACAATTCTAGCATGAATAATAAACATTTATCATGATATGAGGAAATACATAATAACTTTATTATTGCCTCTAGGGCATATTTCCTTCAAGGTGGAGCTGGATTTTCCCGCCCAGGCGCCCCTATATCTCGCATTCAGTGAGTCAAGCTTCCGACTTGATGAAGGGGGAGCGATATGGGCCGGCCCACGCGCGCGCCAGGCCACGGCCTCTTTGATTTCAGAGTGAATTTTCGGGAGCTGAAAAAGTTTTAGGAGGATTGAAATGTCGTGTTAATCTCAATCCTACAAGATTTTGGTTCGTTCGATTGCAACATAGAAAAAAAGAAAGGATTATTTCAATCATACAAGATTTTGGTTTGTTTGATTGCATCAAAAGGACTATTTTAAAAAGGTTTGAGTGGATCCCAGAAATCCCGTGAGAGGTAGTAAAAAAATCTTTAGATTTTTTTAATAGAATTTAATCCTATGAATCAAACAACCAACCTAGGAAAAATTCTTAAGGATTCTAATTCTCCAAAATTTCTATGAAAATTAAAGCAGCCCTTAGGATGGTTTAGAGTTGCTCTAGAGTGGGCTTGGACTAGGACCAACATGGGCCGTGTGGCCCAATCTGGCACGAGCGTGTATCGACGGGACGGCAACACCTCGATGGTCGACGTTTCCTCCTCTTGGCGCCGCCGCTCCCGCCTCCTCTTCCCCCAAACACCGCAACTCAAACCATCTCGAGCCAAAGCCCCGCTCCCCGCCATTGCGGTCGTCACCATCCCACGAGCCAAAGCTCGGCGCCATGTTTCCCACAGCCGCTCGCGGGAGATGCCTTTGCGCGAGCTCCTGAGTGGCACCTCCTTATGATACGGGGCGCTCGCGCACCTCCCCTCCGAGTAGCCCGGCTGTTCTGGCCTTCCCGCCGCCTATGCGGCGACGATTCAAGAACCGGTGTCGAGGCGCCCGGCACTGGGCAGCAGGATGATGGCTGCATTCTGGAGAGAGAGGGCGAGGCGGGCCTAGATCCGTCGACCGTTACGCCCGAAGTGCTCCTCCGCATGCCGCCGCCGCCGCCCCTGCCCGGCCGGCCGGAGAGCGGCGACTATGATGCCGAAAATTTGTCCTCTGGTTCCGTTTCCAGGCGGAGGCCCCGTGAGGAATTGAGACTGGCAGATAGGATTCTCAAGGTACTGCTGCAGGATGGCCCGGGGTTCAGCGCCCGCAAGGCGCTCGACGAAATGAACCTGAAGGTGACCAACGAGCTGGTCAGACAGGTGATGTTCAAGTTTGTTGTGTCTGTTGATAGTGTCAACCGGGAGAGGTACCCGAGGCTGGCGTACAAGTTCTTCGTGTGGGCAGGGCAGCAGGATGGGTACCGCCATAACACGAGCATGTACAACCTCGTTATGAAGGTCTTTGCCGAGTGCGGGGAGGTTAAGGCGATGTGGCGGCTGCTTGAGGAGATGACGGAGATTGGGCTGCCTGTCTCTGCTCGTACATTCCACATTTTGATATGCACATGTGGGCAGGCTGGGTTGAGGCGGAGGCTGGTGGAAAGGTTCATCAAGTCAAGTAGTTTCAACTACCGCCCGTTCAGGAGTTCGTTCAATGCGATATTGCACACGCTCCTGACGATCAAACAGTACTCTTTGATCGAATGGGTTCACCAGAAAATGGTAACGGAGGGGCACACTCCTGATGTATTGACATACAATGTGGTCATGCGTGCAAAGTATTTGCTCGGGAAATTGGATCAGTTCCATAGATTGCTTGATGAGATGGGAAAGAATGGGCTTACGCCTGACCTTCATACTTACAATCTCTTGCTTCATGTGCTTGGTAAAGGAGACAAACCGCTTGCAGCTCTCAATTTACTGAACTATATGAGTGATGTTGGTTGTGTGCCAAGTGTGCTCCATTTCACAAACTTGATAGATGGTCTTAGCCGTGCTGGTAACCTAGAAGCTTGCAGGTATTTCTTTGATGAGATGGTGAAGAAAGGGTGTGAACCGGATGCTGTCTGCTACACTGTTATGATTACAGGCTATGTGGCAGCCGCAGAATTTGAGGAAGCCCAGAAGTTGTTTGATGATATGTTGGTGAGAGGGAAGCTTCCGAATGTGTACACATACAATTCAATGATACGCGGGCTTTGCATAGTAGGTGAGTTTGATAAAGCTTGCTCTATGCTGAAGGATATGGACTTGCACGGATGCACACCAAACTTCTCAGTGTATAGTACTTTAGTGTGTAGATTGCGAAATGCTGGAAAGGATTCTGAAGCTAATCATGTTATTAAGTACATGACAAAGAAAGGCCAATATCTTCATTTGTTGTCAAGGTTTGGGGGATATAGAAGATGCTGAGGTGAGAGGGCCTATAGTAAAATGCAGAGTTGCTTGTAATTTGGTTGTTTCCTGTTCAGAAAGAGAGGTCATAAGGGAGTATCCCGTGTAGCCAATTGCACTATAATCGTTATATACTTTGCGTGTCACATTTTGTGTGGGGATACTTATTTAGCGAAGTGCACAAATGTATGTTGTATACCATAACTGTTTTATGCAAGAATAAAGTTGGACAGGATGGTGGGCACTAGTCATGACTTGTGAGTAATGAACTAGCACTGCTTCAATAGTCCTAATTCCTACACACAAAAAAAACGTTTTCCTTTTGTTGAGCTGTATTCACAGTAGTTTTGCTCCTAATTTTAGTGCTGAACCAGATGGTGGGCACTAGTCATCAATATTGTTTGTAGTGTCAGATATTCATCCACAGTACAAGATGGAGCATATGGTTTTACTCAATGACGACAGAACATATAAATGTTAAATGGTAAGTAACATGCCCTCAAATTTATTTGTCCTTCGATTGGCTAGCACAGAAAGCACTCAAAACTCCCTAGTTTCATTTCTGCCAACCCTAGTAATAGGGTTAGTGGATTACATGTCACAAATCAGAAAAAAACTTAGATGAATTGTGCATTATCTGTTAGCACCAAGACCTTAAAGCCTAAGCATTGTTTTGCTTAGTGGTTCTCTTTTAGCCTATTATATCATGTTTTTAAGGGTTAACAATAGGTGCAACATGGTAGTTTAATTTTTAATATTATAGTTCTAGTCAATGTCAACCTTCTGTACGTCTGGTCCTCTGTTTCTTATAATAAAATAATATTCCAAAATTAATCTGGTAGTAGGTGCATGCCTTCAATGATTCATCACAATATTCATAGGTTTTATTTATGAGTTGCCAATTTGATGTTGGTATCCCAAAGCCGAGCATTTTAGGCATGGATGAAGAACTGAAGATAATTCGATGAGGTACGCGTGTATAGATGCTAAGAAATGGAAGAACAAAGTGTATTCTCTTCTGTAAAGAAATATCACTAATATGTACTTTAGATATAATGGTACAAAGTCATATCTCTTAGAAACATAGATCCGTAGACAAAGCTATTAGAAGTGCACAGAGGAGAAAGGCCATGGGATGGTGTGGTATGCTTTATCATTTTTTCTCCTCTTTCTTCTCCTCTTTCTTCTCTTCTTTCTTTTCCTCTTTTTTCTCCTCTTTCTTTTCTTCTTTCTTCTCTTCTTTCTTTTCTTCCTTTGCAGGTCCAACGGACACAATGTCAATCTTCCCAACCTTCTTTAATTTCTTTGCGATTGCCACAGTGTCCATCTCGCCTATGATGATCATCTTATTGTCCTTCAGATCCGCAACTATGGAATCAATGCCTGCGCACAAAACGAGGTGTGTATTGCATCATTTTCTTGCTGGTATAATAGTACTATTAGTTAATACGTCACAGCCCTTCCCATCAGTATATTCGTTCATCTTTCCTTATATGAGTTAAGATATGGTGGTCATAGAACTAGAAAGGAAAAATACCTCTTTGAAGATTATAACTGCTATATGACCGAAAACAAACTTTTCCTCATGGCATTAGCAATGAACATTGATAGTGTAAGACTGTAAGTTAAATAACATTTCGCATGCTATGATGTGGCTCTGTTGAATGGTGCTTCATGTTAATATATGCATGACAAGATGATTCCACCAAACATAATTTCTCCTCTCAAGCTTCCACCTAAAGCCGATGGCAGCGATTTGAGATATGCGATGCTCTATTGAACTGTCACCATCTTTATGTCAATGCGTGTGTGAGAATAATCCCACCTAACATGATTTCAGCCCTAAAGCTTCCACCTAAAATCTGTGCAAATCCTTTCAGATACATGAGCCACAGATTGAATGGCAAACGGATGATGCAAGAATTACTATGCCAGCTTCTGCAACTACAGATTGTATCGTCCTCTTCGATTTGAAATACCAGACCGAAACTTCCAAGTCCACGGCCAAACAAGCAGCAGAGGTGGGAGGCGACTGTTACCGTAGATATCCGCGACCGCTTCGATGGCCTTCTGCTTGGCCTTGTCGTCGGTCATGGTCGGGACCCTGAGCACCACCTTCTGTTGAGAATCGGCCGAACATACATACAATCCGAGGATCAGGCGCGAGCAATCGCATGAATTAACCCAAGAAAGAACCCGAGCCAACGTCTGCGTACCTGGGCCGCCATCCGAGCTTCTGGAGCACTGAGTGGAGTGGGCGGAGGCAGGAGAGGGAAGGGAAGGGAAGGCTGAGCCGGGAGTTGAGAATACTCTCTGCCGAGGTATTTTGAGCAATGGGAAGAGAAGAGACCAAAGCTGGTGACGGCGTCGGGTTTTGCTTTACATAAAGGTGCAAGCGTGCGTGCTCTTGCTGAACGGCAGGTTGGCACTGACGTTGAGCGATGAGTCGGACTTGCGGGTGTCTGCGTTGCGGAAGAGGTACGCGGATGTGTTTACTTTCCCTTGTATATCGTCTGTGACGTCTGAGTCTGCCCGCATCAGCTGCTGTGTGCGTATGTGCGGGATGGCGGCAGGGTCGGTGAGCTGACGGGCGAGTGCGTGCCACTGCCAACCGACCGGCGGCCGCCCCATCCACACCTTGCGCATGGAGACGGGATTTTATTCCCGGAAGAGGAGGGATGGATTGGGTCGGTCGTGGCCGGAGGCGCCGCTGCTGCCGAGTTGTGGCGCTGCAGACGCCGGGTGACCTGTTGCTTTGCTGGATTCCTTTGAGTGACTGACGAGTGAAGGCGACGGGGAAACCTCAGGCGCTCGATTTGGCTTTTTTTTTAGAGCAACTCGATGTTGGCATACCTGCTGCCCACCTCTTTGTTTCGCGGTGGCTCGACTGTTCACGTCTACTCTCTTTTTTTTAGCAAAAACTGTTCACGTCTACTGGGAACGAAACTGTGCGGCTGCTCGGCCGAGGACGAATGGGGCACCTGCTTGTTCTGCTTTGGGCCGCCCGGTCCAGTGCCACAAGTTGGTTGGGTTCGGTGACTGGCCAGTCTTCTACTCCCTCGGTTTTTAAATCTAAGTCTTTTTAGACATTTCAAATGAAGTATAACATACGGATATATGTAGACATATTTTAGAGTATAGATTCATTCCTTTTTGTTCTATATATAGTCACTTGTTGAAATCACCAAAAAGACTTATATTTGGGAACGGAGGGAGTACCTCCTTGTTGCATGGTCGAACCTAAGTGCGGATTATCATAACCTGGCACATTTGCCTAAAAAAAATTCCGGAACCTGGCACATCTGATCCTTATAAGAAATCGGCCATCAGAGCCTGTGATTGGATGGTTAGGAGCATAGTGATATCCTCAGTTCATTGGTGCTCGCATTTTTCTGGATTTATTTTAGGCCTTCCGGTGATGTGCTTTCGATGGGAGAAGACATTCCTGTCGACTACAAAAGTAATAAGATGATGTGCCGCCTCAGTCTCTCGGAGGTTCTTATAGGGATAGGGTATGCGTGCGTGTGTTTATAGGGGTGAGTGTATGTGCCTTGTACCGTGTTAAAAGAAAATAAATTGGCCACCGCCTCCATTAGGCATCTCTGGCGGGCAATCAACCACCGGGCCACCTCCTCCTTACCTCATGTCTCGCCACCAGTAGAGGAGCTGTCGATGAAGCCCATGCCGGCTCAGAGGAAAGTAGCGGTGTGGCTCTTCATCTCGACAGCGTCGCGCCCATCCCCTTAGAGGTCTGTCATAACTGTTGCTCCTCCGGTCCTCCTGCCCTCCCTATCATCCTGATGTGGCCTTGCCCTCAATGCTTGTCATGTTGGTTGTGGATCTCGTGCTGCTATGCAGTGGCGTGGGCGTAGGATCCGGCTTGATCGTGGCCATGCTGGGGGGGGGGGTGCAAGCGGCACTCCTGGTGACGGTTGCTACTGAGGGTCAGGGCTAGTCGCTCCCTATTTTGTTGGTGGTCGCATCCGATCAGATTGGCGAACGTTTCGGTTAGGTGTTTGATTTGGAAGGATTTCTCCTTCAGATTCTAGCATGGTGACACTGGCTGACGGCTCATACTGGCGAGATTGCGGGATGCAACCTCCACTGTGTGTTTTGGCGGCTCAAGTATGCCTTTGACGGTGCAATGCAATCTATGCATGGTGGCTTGACGTCGAGGGTATGGTGGAGCGGTGGCGTGGTGGGTTTTCTAGACCAATGCATGTAGCTGTTGCGATCATGGAAAATTGATGGCGATAACATGATAGATTGTGGATGTCGCCTAAAGGGGGGGGGGTGAATAGGCGCTTTAAAATAATTACGGTTTAGACTTGAACAAATGCGGAATCAAACTAGCATTTAATTTGTCAAACACAAAACCTAAACTGACTAGGCTCACCTATGCGCACCAACAACTTATGCTAAACAATATAAACAACTATGTGATAGCAAGATATATAACATGAAACACTAAGGCTATCAGAGAGTAAAGTGCATAAGTAAAGGGCTCGGGTAAGAGTTAACCGAGACATGCAGAGACGATGATGTATCCCGAAGTTCACACCTTACGGATGCTAATCTCCGTTTGGAGCGGTGTGGAAGCACAATGCTCCCCAAGAAGCCACTAGGGCCACCGTAATATCCTCACACCCTCGAACAATGCTAGATGCCGTGATTCCACTAAGGGACCCTTGAGGGCAGTCACCGAACCCGTACAAATGGCAACCCTTGGGGGCGGTCACCGGTACCCATCAAATTGCTCGGGGTGATCTCCACAACCTAATTGGAGACCTCGACGCTTGCCCGGAGCTTTACACCACAATGATTGAGCTCTGGCAACACCAATCGTCTAGGGCACCAAGGCACCCAAGAGGAACAAGCTCTAGGGTGCACAAACACCCAAGAGTAACAAGCTTCTCAACTTCACTTCCACGGATCACCGTGAAGAATTCAAACCGATGCACCAACTGCAATGGCAAGGGCACACAGAGTGCCCAAGTCCTTCTCTCCCAAATCCCACCAAAGCAACTAGTGCTAGGGAGGAAAATGAGAGGAATAATGAAGAAGAGAACACGAAAAACTCCAAGATCTAGATCCAAGGGGTTCCCCTCACATAGAGGAGAAAGTGATTGGTGGAAACGTAGATCTAGGTCTCCTCTCTCTTTTCCCTCAAAACTAGCAAGAACCAATAGAGCGATTGAGAGTTAGCAAGCTCAAAGAAGGTCAACAATGGGGGAAGAACACGAGCTGAAAGGATAAGGTTCAATGGGGAAGAAGTCCCCCTTTTATAGGAGGGGAAAAAATCCAACCGTTACCTTGCTCCCAGCCCGCACAGAGCGGTACTACCACTACTAGGGAAAACATTATACACAGAATCTTACCAGTAGCGAGGGACAAAAACAAGCGCTACTAGTACTTACTAGTAGCGCGTGGAATCCAAACACGCTGCAGCTAAGTTCATAGCAGTAGCCCGTCTCTGGGAAGAAGCGCTACAACTACAATTCCCCTACTGTTTTGGCCAGGCTACCAGTAGTAGTAGCGGGCTCAGGTAAAGCACACTACTGATAAGGTAGTTGTAGTAGCGTGTTTCGCACGAAAAGCGCTACTGCTAATGAAAGGAAAATAAAATGAGAAACATATGGAAAAGTAAAGGAAAATGAAAGAAATAGAAAAAGGGGAAGGGAAAAAAGGAAAATGTGAAGGAAAACAAATGAAAAATAAAAATAAAGGAGAAAGGCGTAGCAGCAGCGTGCTTTCCGGACAGGCGCTATAGCTAACTTAGCAGTAGCGCGTTTTGCCAGCCAGCGCTATAGCTAAGTTAGCTATAGCTAAGTTAGCAGTAGCGCATTTCCTGGAACTCGCTACTGCTACTTCTGACTTAACCGCGCGGTCTTCCTTCCCCACGACCACTTCCCCCAAATCAAACTCCTCTGTTGTCGTCGCCGTCATCGCCCAGCATCGCCGTCGACCGTCGCGCGCTCTCTCGTCGCCCTCCGCATGCCCCCGACCCCAACCTCGACGCGCCCTCCGTCGCGCGCCCTAGCCCCGACCCCAACCTCGACGCCGCCTGCCCCTCCCTCGCCGCCGACACCCGAGGTGAGCACACCTCCCCCTCCCCCTCACCTACCTCTGCCTAGCTAAAGTTTCTATGGTTCATCAAATTTCAGAGTGCATCAAATTAGTCAGGGTTCATCAAATTAGATGCTAATTATGTAACGCCCACGATGCGGCTATATCTCCCACATGTCGAGGCACGACTTAGAGGCATAACCGCATTGTGGTTTTTGTCACAAGAAGGGTCAGCTTCACACAATCCCATGTAACTAACAAGAAAGGGATAAATAGAGTTGGCTTACAATTGCCACTTCACACAATGATCATATAATTCATACATCATCCAAAGTACACACATAGTACGACTACGGACAAAACCAAAAGAAAAGAAGATAACCCCAAATGCTAGATCCCCGATCGTCCCAACTGGGCTCCACTACTGATCATCAGGAAACGAAATATAGTAACGACCAAGGTCCTCGTCGAACTCCCACTTGAGTCCGGTAGGATCACCAGCACTGGTATCATCGGCACCTGCAACTGTTTTGGTAGTATATGTGAGTCACGAGGACTCAACAATCTCAAAACCCGTGAGATCAAGACTATTTAAGCTTATGGGTAGGATAAGGTAATGATGTGGAGTTGCAGCAAGAACTAAGCAAATATGGTGGCTAACATACGCAAATAAGAGTAGGATGAGAAGCTACGCAACGGTCGTGAAGTTAGAAGTGATCAAGAAGTGATCCTGAAACTACTTACATTCAAACACAACCCAAACCGTGTTCACTTCCCGGATTCCGCCGAAAGAGACCATCACGGCTACACACGCGGTCGATTCATTTTAATTAAATCAAGTGTCAAGTTCTCTACAACCAGATATTAACAAATTCCCATCTGTCACATAACCGCGGGCACGGCTCACAAAAGTTTATACCCTTCAGGGGTGTCCCAACTTAGCCCATCACAAGCTCTCACGATCAACGGAGGATATTTCTTCTCCTGGAAAGACCCGATCTGTCTCGGAATCCCGGTTACAAGGCATTTCGACAATGGTAAAACAAGACCAGCAAGACCGCCCGACTGTGCCGACAAATCCCGATAGGAGCTGCACATATCTCGTTCTCAGGGCACACCCGGATGAGACATCCTACGAGTAAAACCAACCCTCAAGTTTCCCCGAGGTGGCCCCACAGTCTACTCGGTTCGGACCAACACTCGGAGGAGCACTGGCCCGGGGGGGGGGGGTTAAATAAAGATGACCCTCAGGCTTATAACTCCCAAGGGAAAGGTTTAGGTTGTTAGGCAAATGTAAAACCAAGGTTGGGCCTTGCTGGAGGAGTTTTATTCAAAGCGAACTGTCAAGGGGGTCCCGTAATCCCAACCGCGTAAGGAACGCAAAATCAAGGAACATAACACCGGTATGACGAAAACTAGGGCATCAAGAGTGGAACAAAACACCGAGCAAAAAGCCAAGCCTTCCACCCTTTGCCAAGTATATAGATGCATTAATTAAAATTTGAGATATTGTGATATCCCAACATATCCATGTTCCAACATGGAACAACCTGCAAGGCACCTGCAACTAGCAATGATAT